TGTTCATCTTTCCATCTTTTCGTTTGTCTACGTCTATTTCTTTTACTGTCCCTTGGTATCGTCCCCATAGTACCTATAAGTACTAGTAATGTATGTAGGTATGCAAGATTTTCAATTCCATTTCAATAGAACTTGAAGTTGGCGATCAACCTGCTTTTTAGAAAGTTTTCACGGGGAAAATGTACGATGCTTTTTACCTCGGCTTGGTAGGCGATTCCTTTGGGTGAAGAATAAAATATGAGACTGAATAAATTCTCTTTGTGACGTGAAACATCAATAAGACACAAACATCAATAAGTAATTTTACTAAGTTGAGAGTCAACGTTTAAAACTATTGCAACGTCTCTTGTGAATAAATAAGGACGGTTTGTGATTTTTTCTCAGAATGTAGGCGTTGTAGGATATTGAAGAGAGAATACTTTGAAATAATAACACAATCTTATTACGTGACATTCAAGTCGAGAAGACACAAAGGTTTTTAACGAAATTACATATGAGCTCGTATATTTCACATGCCATATTTTATTCAATATTCTTATTTGTAACATTTTTTTCGTACATTACTTTGTCTCCAATTTGGCTCACATCGAATATCAGGTAGCTTATTAGGGTAATATTTTGACAGTCATTCGATATATGGCGTACGTCCGTGGGTACAGTCAGCGTCAATATTTCTGCGTTGCGTCTATTCGTTACCTGACAATTACGGCCGTCACGTTCCCAATATAACGTGAAATACGTAGAGAATTTTTTTGCAGTGCGTCGTCATCGGGGAGGCACGTCAGTTGTCAAACAAGCCGGTACGCCCGAGTATCGACGTTTTGATAGGCACCGATCGACGAACGTATCTAAATAAAACTGATTGAAGTACACTTTGTATGGTATTTGTTGTGTGAAATGCTGTTTGGAATGCACGATTAAATTACACTGGGAGTAAAATACTAAAATTGGATGAACGTAAACGTATCTAGTTACGGAACTGAACAAGATTGTAGTACATGGTGTATTTTACAAATTACAGCTGACACAATCTTGCATTCCCCAAGAGAATCTAGTAGCACAATTGAATCGCTTACTAAAGCTATAAGAACGATGGGACGTTTACTCCTAGAATCGTTTTTTAACATGTAATCCACGTTGTTCACAGGTGTTAGAGGACTTTGGCTACATCTACGACAGTTCGGTGGGCGTGCCTCCACTGCCGATCCCCGTGTGGCCATACACACTCGACTATAAGATCGCGCACGAGTGCAAGTCAGGCACTTGTCCGACCAAGTCGTTCCCAGGTGGGTGAACATAACTTACGTCCTCGATAGTTAGATAAACTGGCGAAGAAGTAGAAAAGATTTGTTAGGTAACCTGCACAGTGAGCAGATGTTTGTATACAGATGATGCTTTGTGTGTGATCATAGGAGGCTATTTTCTATGTAAATATACGATACAATGCACAGTTACAGCTTATTTATTTTTAAAACTTTAATCACGACACATTTGAGTTAAGACCTAATGCAGGTTACAGACCTTACGATAGTCGTTACGATAAACTGTGCACTATCAGCACAGTTAAAACCGTTAAATCGTAGCTCCATACAGCCTGCACACTGTGCACTGCACACGTTACCATTTAGGTAACTGTACAGTCCGATGGTACAGGTAAAACCTGCACAGTTTTCCTAACTGGCATAAGTGGCAACTTTATTATGATTTAACATATAAGCAAATATGTTCTCTAACTACGTTTTATAATAGTTTCCCCAATAACCATGTGTAACACCTACATTGTGTGAAACCCTATATTCAGTACAGCGTTCCCGTTACCAAGTTTTAGTATCGCGTGCAGCATGGCGTTAGACAGAACGAGGTGCTCACACACTTCCTATACGAACACCAACTTGCTTCACGTGGTTGGAACAATGTTCTCAGATAGTAATTACTGCTTACCGGAGCCATTCTCAGATTGAATTACGATATTTTCACCAAAATGTATTTCTTTGAATGTACGAGGATAAAAGTACATATTGGATGTTTACTCGCCTCTGTCAACATTTTTTGAACTGCTGTATTTAATGATTCGACATAAAATACACATCATATACGTATTGAATTTAAATAATAAGCATTACTATAGATAAAATGGTTGTTTGTTCTGCAGGTTTGTGGGAGGTTCCATTCAACGCTCACTACGTAGAGACGTATGAGGGCGGACACTGTCCCTATCTCGATCAGTGTGTGCTACATAATCACGACTCCGATGAGGTTGGTACCGTGTTCTTGTAAGAAGAGACATGTATTGCTATTTGTGTGGATGATACAAAAATGTGACCTTGTTACAATATTACCAATAGTTTTGTGTGTTTTGATTAAACTTTCACGTTAAGTTTAACTTCGTACGCGCTTAGAAAAAGCTTAGTACGCTTAGTAAGGTAAAAAAAGCATTAGATAAACAGTATTCTATGTGCGTCTCCTGGTTCTAAACAACCTCCCATCAATTTTTAGCCAAATCGATTTAGCCGTTCTTGACTTATAAATAGTGTAACTAAAACGATTTTCTTTTATATATATGCATGTGGTAAAGATGTAGGTATGAACGATAACTTTGTATACTATTCATTATGCTAATCTGATATAGTATTAATTTTAGAAACTCACTCACTTGTCTGTATAAAAAAAATCAACTTAATGTAGGAGTTTATGAGAACAGCGTGGGTGATGATTTCCACGTTTATTTTAAACCTTTTGATAAACGAGCTTATTATTACATAACATACATATATAACATCACGCCTTTTATCCCCGAAGGGTTAGGCAGAGGTGCACATTATGCCGCTGTATAATGCACCACCCCCTTTTCACTATTTATGTTATAAGTCCCATGTAATAGGGGGTGAGCCTATTGCCATATACCGGGTACAATTCCAGACTCCGTGCTACTACTGAGTTTTTTTTAAAACCCAGTAATACTTTGACCGACCCGGGAATCGAACCCGAGACCCCTTGCCCGGCAGTCGCACTTGCGACCACTCAGCCAACGAGGCAGTTTATTATTAGTTATTTGTATTTATAGAAATTCGTAGATAAACATTGTGATGTAGTACGTACTAATGAATGTAATTCAACGCTAGGGAAATTTCGGAAAAATACACATTGATTGTGTTCCAAAATAAAATTTAGCTCGTGATCAATAAATCACTATCACTTATCCGTAATCAATTCTTGTAGTTGACTGCAATGCCCGCCCTAACTAGGGAAAAATACACCGTATATCGCAACAGCGGAAACATTAAGAACTTGCTTGTAGTGAAAATACGCATAATACATAATTAAGGTCGTAAGATTAAGAGCCTAATTGAATATTAGAAATAAAAAATTGTCAAGGAAGTTCGGGTAAATCTCTTCGGGTAATAGGTGTGAAGTCATGTTTATAGTTAGGTATGTATATGTAGGAGTACGTAGTACCTATAAATACAAAGGTTTCACTAACACTTGACCGCTATTTAACAATCTTCATTATTTATATACTAAAGAACAAAGAAATGGAGCCACTAGTACCTACTTTTTCTTTTTCATTCCTTGAAAAATATTTTATTAATTCGAAACCTACCAACAGCAAGTACCAATGTGACTTTTTCCGAGTTATATGTACTTTCTAAGATTATTCAGACACCACTGACGAACGATGAAGGAAAACATCGTGAGGCAAACTGGTCTTATAATTTCTATTTATTTTAAATCGCCGACCTGCATTGAGCAAGCTTGGTGATTAATGCTCAAACCTTCTTCGTGCGAGAAGAGGTCTCTGATCAGCAGTGGCCACTTATAGGCTGTTGACGTATGTCGTATAAAAGGTAAAATTAAAATTTGAGGATTTTTGTAATTGCTATTGTGAGACATATTAAATTAACTAAAATTCGCGGCTTACTGAGGAAAGCTCTACTAGTTTCGAACCACACAGGGGTTCTACCGGTGGAGCAGCGTGCGCGGTCGCGGCGATGTCGCGCAGCCTATTACTGGCGACAGTAGAGTATCTCAGTATATTCACATGAGTAACCCGCGATTTTTAGTCAATTTGAGGATTTTGTCATGAAAGGAATATATTTTTTTAAAGTTATAGAGTGTTCGATAAAATGAAAAAATATTATATTTTTTTGAAGAGGCTCCGTTTATATCCTCCCCTTTGTACTTCCTTTACTTATTCACATAAAAGTGTTATCTGATTCGTACCTATTATATAATTATCGTACGATATGATATAAGCTCTATTAAAAATTAGCATAATTATGTAAAACTTTTGGTATGAATAGTTTGCGTCCATTTCCATTTTTATGGCTAATATCATTTGCATTTTATGTGTATACACATTTACACGTTCACATTGGACATGTTTCAAGTAATTTGTGGATAATATGTTCTAATAGATGCGACTAATTACGTATGTAGATTGTAGTCATTGCAATATCGTATTGGATTCCCACATTGTGTATGTTTTAAACAAATTATTTGTCATTTCTATTTAACATAATATTTTCATAGCTTTCGCCATTTGTGAGTGTTATAACTTCCATATTATTATAATAAACACTGGGTACTATTCCAGATTCCATACTACCTACTACATGTTATTGAGAAATAGTAATCGAAAAATCGTTACGAGAATATCGAATATCCAGCAGTCGTGGTTACGACCACACAACCAACGAGGTAGTCAATTAAAATTTTCCAAGATAAATTATATTTATCTTCTTTATTCGAATATTTCGGGAGCAGTTTCGTTTATTTGCGCCTGACTCCTAACCTTTTTTGAGATCAAAAACAGAAAACTGCTTTTAGCTCGTACGTATTAGGTAAATAAAGGATTTTACGCTCTTTGATCCGAAATATTATAAATTAAGAACAATTTTATGCACTGATTCTCTGTTGTGTTTATAAATATGTATGTAAGTAAAAGCTCGGTAGTTAAGTAATTACAATATGTATTAAATAATTAATATATTTAACATACTTAAATACAATTCATTTAGGTACAGATAAAAACTGCTTTAAGAGGTACTCGAAATTCGTCAAATTTCGTAAACAAATACCAATCAATATCTTGACAGTTACAAATGCTAAGATCAAAGAATTACCCAAAACTTGCAGTCATTTCTGAGCGATGTGCTTACTCGCTTTTACCTTAGGTATAATATTTGAATACCAACATACTGTCCATGTATTATGTATCCAAGTTGAACGTATATATTATGCAGGTTTACTTAGTAAAAGTAAATATTTGTACCTACATAGTTGTATTGAGAAGTGGAGCGGAAGCAGCCGAGAATAATTTCACGTATGTACGCGGTCACCCGACTTGTTATTTTATCTCTATAACTATACGTAATAACGTTATAACTAAAACGTGTATAACTGGTATAAAAACTTTGTACACCGCTGTTTTATCAGTTAGTAGTTCGCGGCTATCTAGTTATTCAGTTGGTTTTAATTTAACTTATTGTTGTTTGTTATGTTTTCGTTTATCTAGATATCTATCTACTACTAGATATAGTAATGATAACTGTACAGCTGGTTTGAACGTGATACTATCTGAAAGTTTTAATAGTATATATTAAATGATGCTAATGATAAAGTCATAAAGTTGCTGTAATTTCCAGTGCCATGTAGAATTTTACGTAGATCTAGTCATAATTGAGTACTTTCCATGATCAAAAATAAATTATTTCGATTGTTCAATACAATAAAATATTTAGAAAATAATCACATTTTCATTAATTGATTTTATGACCAGTTTTACTCTTGCATTTTCCCAGTAAATATTAAAGAAATAAGTATGCTGCTCGACGCAAACCATAGAAAAATGTTGTTTTTGACAGTTCGAAAAAAGTATTTCATTTTATTAGTTGGCAAGTACCCAATTGTAATAACAATAATAATTTTAAGGTCAGATTTTATTAGAATTCATGACACAGCTACAATAACTCTCTAAAATGTGGAATTTTCCGACTAAATAAGATTTGAGAGCAGTTATTGAGACGAGTACTTAAAAATTTTAGGCTTGAAATATGAGTACAAATATTAGCATTGAACTTTAACAACTTGTTGATTAAACAGTTGGTTCTCTTTCTGTATATTTGCAGTACATGCTCTTTTGCTCGCCGATTTATGAAGCACTGTTATTTTTTGTAGATAGAATTTGCTTCTAGTTCGATGTGAAAAGTTAGAATGTTGTTGGACTAATTTTTAAATTGTGAGAGAGAATAGTGTGAATGTTTTTTGATTGCTTGGATAATGGACATGATTGGTTTTTAGTTAGTCCTTAATGGAACGAGACTAATCGAAAAAATTTGTTACTTTGAATCTTAAAATTACTTTCAACTTCTTCCAGGTGTTAGAATGGCTGCAAGAAGACTTCAGTCGGTATTACGAGCAGAACCGAGCTCCATACATGATGCCATTCCACACGAACTGGTTCCAGATTAAGGAGCTCGAGCGAGGTCTTCACAAGTTCTTGCAGTGGGCCTCCAGTCTGTAAGTAAAGTACTATGTTTTTCTAAAATTTCACAGTGGAAAGGCCCAAGGTATGGATTGATGATGATGATGATGATTTTAAGTGTGGGGGAGCCATGCTTCGGCACGAATGGGCCGGCTCGACCGGAGTGATACCACGGCCTCACAGAAAGCCGACGTGAAGCAACGCTTGCGTTGTGTTTCGTCGTGTGAGTGAGGTTACCGGAGGCCCAGCTCCCTCCCCCCTTCCCCTATCTCCCCGATCCCCGAATCCCCAACAATCCTCAAACTCCTAATCCCCAAAAGGTCGGTAACGCACTTGTAACGCTTCTGGTGTTCCAGGTGTCCATGGGCGACGCCGATTGCTTACCATCAGGTGATCCGTCTGCTCCTTTATGTTCCATAAAAAAAGATGATCAGCATGAAATTTTTTTTTTATTATTTTATATCCCATAATAATTTTAATTTATAAGACAGGTGTCGTTGGTACTATGCTTAAAAGACTTCGAGATGTGTTAAGTTTGTTTTGATTACCTGAGCTTGTTGCTATTTATTAGCAAAACCGCAAAAAGTATACATTAATATTACCATAGTAAACACTGTTTATAAGGTGACAAAAATATTCAAAGCAATAATAAATTTTCCGTTTCTTGTTTCCAAGCAGAAATGAGCCCATTTTTAAGTAATTGTAGGCTTGAAAGGTCAATTAAAATAAAAAAGATTTATACATTTTTTAACCCAAAATTTCCTGTTTTCGTATTAATTTTACTTTCAAGTTATCGAGTTGTTTAGTCAAGGTAAACGCGTATATTATTATTATGTATTGATTTAGGTTTTTTGTAGTTCGAGCGAGTTCAAAATGGAGCAATATATTTTGGTTGTGATAAACACATAATTGAGTTTTTAAAACCGTGAAATGTTGGAATTTAGAGCATGAATAAAAGTCGATCCAAATGTTTAAGATTGTGTTTTTAAGATTATATTATTTATTATCGCTTGTCAATCGAGACATGAATATTTCTGAGATGGCACACATTTTATCATTAAAATTAAGACAAAGAAAAAAATATTATGACCTTTTTTCTAATTTAATATGGAGTGCTTTAGAGGGCACCGAGTTGTTGAAGCATAAATAACTTTAAACAAAAAAATTGTTTTAGTTTATTCAAACTTGCCTCGTTTGTATTACAAAAGTTCTTTTCATTTGGAAACGCTTCATTTTATTTAGTTAGTATAAAAGTATAGCCATTTGAATTCGCGGTTTCGTATTAAATATTTGCGATTCAAACGATTCCATCTTGATCTCTTAGTTAGTACGAACCAATCCTAATAATTAAATATTATTAACGTAAACCAGCTTTAGCGAATTTATTTGTTTAATTATTCTAAAAATCTGTACAAACATTGGAATGAAGGGATAAATAACATTCAGCAAACATATACTAATTACCTATGTAATATCATGAAGTGAAACGGCAATAAATACAGGTTTTCATGTACCTATCCTATATATTTGCTTATTGACACTTATCACATTATGAGAATATTAAAATTTAATTACTTGATCCGAGCGAGCGATACAGGCTCGTAATTTTAAATTATAACATTAACATTCTTTTTGAGGAAATATTATCGTAAAAACCGTTCTCGAATATCAAGTTCTACATAATAATGATATAATATAATAACGTAATGATATAATATTTTGTATATTTCTGTATTTAATTAAAGGGTGTAATTAATATTAGGTAACGTTATGTGCCGAATGTGCGCCCTTGTGCAAAATATTTTAATATAGTATTTTGTAGTTATAAATATTATAATAATGTAAAATATGTTGTAAGATGCTAAATATAAACTTATTTGTTATGACTGGCGCCCACGCATCAAGTAGAAGTTATAAAAAAATTCAGACGAAAACTCCTAAGTAATTCTGTGGTAACATATAATGTTTATCAGTTAGCCTAATATTACATTACACATATGGATAATGAAGGTACAAAAGAAATTATTTATTGACATTTTCCGTTTAACAGGAAGGACGTTTGGTTTGTAACTGTCACCCAAGCTCTGACCTGGATGACTGACCCGAAATCAGCGAAATCGCTCAACAATTACGAAGCCTGGAGATGTGACCGCAAGGACTACCCGGCGGCTCCATGCAATCTGCCCAACAAATGTGCACTATCCTTCAAACCTGCTGATACCAATTTCACCGACACGAGGTACATGGAGACCTGCAGCGATTGCCCCAACCAGTAAGTATGAACATACTTCTAGAAAGCTCTTAGTTAAAGGACTTAGATTTTTGATATAATTAGGTACTCTGCACTAGCTATTCAAAAACACCAAACAAATTATGTATGTTGAAGGAAGGTAAAAAGCTCCTCACATATGCAAGAAATTTTATTTCACTGCAAGTAAAAGTCACCCGTACTAAAGGGGGCCAAAAGAAAAAAAAAATAAGGCAGAAATCCTTTGACACATTTTCAGCAGTAATAAGGTCGTAGCTATGATTATACAACGTACATTTTACGACACACCACGCAAAGATGGGCTTGCTTACTTTGTTAGCGGAGTTTTAAAATTTAAAAGTTCCTAACACGGTGTCACAGCTCCATCTATCGAGCAAAAAGGGGAGCTGTGATTTTCCTACATCGTTTGTTGAATTTTTGGTAGGCGCCTGAGATTGTATGAGTTGGCAAATGGCGGCAGAATGGCTTCATTTGATTCAGAAATAGAATGTAAAAAATCCATAATAACGTTGTCAGAGCCAAATTGGGTGTGTTTGTATTGGCTAATGGAAAAGGTTCTATGTAAGGGCACACAACTTTTTTAGTCTAGACAGACTGGTAAAAGCGTTCTAAATAAAAAAGTTAAAAAAAAAGAAACACAAATAATTGTTGTTTATCTGTATAGAGGTAATAACCATGTACATATTACAGCTGTTGATTCTAGATGAAGAAATAAAGAAGTATAAATATAGTATACGTCATTAGTAAATTTGTAATTATTTTTTCTTTTCACAGATACCCATGGCTTGGTGACTCTGGCGGGACGGGAATCCCCGGCAAAGACAACTATATACCCGACAATCTTAGGAGGAAGTAGATTGCCAGTAGTCCTTTATTGACATTGTACGAGTATGTGGTCTATTCAGAATAGTTTAGCAAATCTTAAAAAATGATTTGTGCTGATATACCTACTGACTTTGGGATGTTGAATAGCTCTAAGAACACAAAAAGTTTTATTTCATTGTAAAGTAGGTAGTATAATGAATAAGTATTATCTTTTTGAAATATTTATTAAGGATAAAGTGCACTGAAGTAAATCACTTAGAATCAAGTCGGTTTCTGAACTGCTTCCATATAAAAGCCCGTCTAGTTAATTTTTACTGATATTAATTAGTCTTAATTCGATGGCAAACGTAATTAAATGTAATAACGATTGTAGTAACATTATATTGAGAGAAGTAGTCTAGACGTTATCATTCAAATCTACTCAGGAGTCGTCAACCTTCTGAAGTCTCTGAAATTTGTCTTATATTCTGTTCTGAATAGAAAACATACGAACATTTTGTATATATTTCGTTTTCTAAGTAATTAAGGCATAGTGACTAGTCGTCGCAATTTTTTTATTATAATAATTATGACTTGAGACGTTTTTTTAAGTACTTTGTGGCGAGAAAACTAAACTCGAACAATTTATTTATAAGATATGAAATTTCGTGTAATTATTATTGTACTTATTGAACAGTTGCCATGTTTTGACCAAAATACTCCTTAACTATGACAACACTGGGGGCAAGTTGCGGGACAATGGAAAAAATCGTATTTTTTTATTTTGGTAATGTGTTGATCCAAAATGTTTGTTTGTAGCCCTCAAAGTTGTTAAGAAATACCTCGAGATACTCCTAGCTTGGTTATATTATATTAAAATATATATTTTATAAAATATCTTTGAACAACATTGGTGCTTTGTAATTATAAGTGGAATAACTGTTTTCATTGTTAACGAATAAAATAATATATTTCAGAAACGCCTGTTGATTTATTACCTCACAGCCGTAAGTCACTGGTTTTGCATTTGCCTTTGTTCTTTTTGCGATTTGTATTTTGAAATACCTCTAAATAAAAATCCTTATCAAATAATAAAACGTAAATTCTAAAATTACTGATATCGCGTTAGTAACAGCTTTTTTTATTAAATATTAAAGACTAGCTACTTCGGCGCGGTTACACACGCTCTGCTCAGCTCCTATTAGTCGTAGCGTGATGTTTTATAGCCTATAGCCATCCTCGATAAATGCGCTATCCAACACAAAAAGAATTATTCAAATCAGACTTGTAGTTACGGAGGTTAGCGCGTTCAAACAAACAAACAAAAAAACTCTTCCGCTTTATATAATAGTATAAGATATAAGATAAAATTATAGATCATGTTATGTTTTCGAACCCTATAATATATTAAATTTCCATAGTTGAAATCTTAGAAATAGCATGGAATCTGATTGTAAATAATGTAACAAATAGTTGCGTGAATACGTTATTACGCGTATCTACGTGCAAAACGCGTATCTAAGTGTCCTCTACTGTTTTGTTATTTAACCTCTAAAGTTCAGAGAGTTGCAGAGTTATTCGGGAGGAGTTATGTACTCAACTCCTCAGAAGTTGTAGTGTAATTATGAAATAATATGCAAGATGTCACCAGTAGGTAATTCGGTTGGTTTGGCCGTCGGTAGCACAGAGTGGACGTCGGCGCAATGTGCACCGCCCCTTAATATGGCCCGGTACATTCTGAGCTTGAATTGTATGAAATACGTAGGACAACATTGTTACTTATTCATGTATTATTAAACTGTACTGTGATATTTTTCTAAAGATCGTTAATAATTAAAGATTGTAATTTAAGGAAAATATTTATACGTTTCGGTAAATTACTGTATTTTATTTATTTAAAAAACGTTGCCCCGCACTAGGATTTTCTCCTGTGTCGTGGGTGCGTTTACAAACATACAATTTCACATACACATGATACCCAGACCAGGAACAACAATTTGTGGACCACACAAAGAGTTGTTCCGTGCGGGAATCGAACCCGCGACACGTTGCGCGGCAGCTAGTTGCCCAGCCTACGCACCAACCGTGTAGTCTATCTTAACTATATTTATCTATACTAATATTATTAAGCTGAAGAGTTTGTTTTTTTGTTTGTTAGTTTGAACGCGCTAATCTCCGAAACTACTGGTCCGATTTGAAAAATTCTTTCTGTATAATTTGACGATACGATTAATAGGCGCCGAGCAGAGCGAGGGAAAGCGGAAGTAGCTACTATATAATAATTATCACAGTACTTCTTTTTTCTGTAACCACAGTGATCACCAGTGTGTTTTGTTATGACTGCAATTACCTAAGTTTTACATCTTAGTGTTGAACTCTAGCAACGTCACTTTAGGTTTTTAGACTTCGAAGTTATTCGTACAACCGGTGTCGTGTCTACTTGTTACCAAATAAATCTTTAATATATGCAGCGTAAGGTATTACACAGTCGTATAAGCAGAAAAAAGAACTCGCAAAATTGTAGGTAACAATAAAGGAACTTGTCTCAACTTAGCCTCTTACCTGACACGAAGACGCGAGAGCTTAAGAAACAATTTTTGTTTTGATCTTATAAAGAGCTGTTGGTCTATACATTACCTAATAAAAGTACCGAAAAAAGACTATTGTATACATATTTTATAACGACGGTTGGCATTCGCGACTCCGACCCGACGGCAGATTTAATTTGAGATTGCGCTGCGGATGGCTGTTCGGGAACTTTACCCATATTCACATGTATTAGCTGCTATTACAACGAGTTTTTGGTATACATAATAACATCATTACTCTTATTCACCAATAAGATAGGCAGATGTGTAATGTTATAGTTTACGCACTTTTAGTTAGTTATAGCTATTATCGGTTTAATTCAGTAGTTTTTACAAACGAAATTCAAGACTTCTTAGTAATTGCAGTTGTGAATATAAAAAAAAAATTCAATTATTTTATGAGTGTCTTTTAATCGATACCATATTCAGAATGAGATAAGATATGTCTGTAACTTTAGCAATGTACCTCTATGTAGTAAAATGTAACATCTGAAGTTTCCATATATTGGCGTATCTCGTGTCATTCACACGTAATTTGAGAAGGTGTCTTAGAGAGGTTGGAAAAGCACTCCTTTTACGCCGTTTTACATTATTTTAAGGTAACGTTGAAGTGGGTATGCCTAGAATACTAGAATACTAAGTATTAGACGAATCAGACAGGTAACCTGTACTAAAGGGTGCTTGTATCAAAGAATTTTTTTTTAAAAGCGTTGCCCTGCGCTAGTATTTTCTCCTGTGTCGTGGGTGCGTTTACAAACATCCAAGTTCACATACACATGACACAAAACTCACTTACTGACTAAAAACTATCGCGTTACTTCTCCTGCACGTCGAGCCGGAGCCCCGGTAACCCGTTACGTTCTTCGCGACAGGCGCATAGAGTGGGGAATCTAGGCGCCCACCTAATGACCTCAAGGAAGACGGCGGTACAGTGGTCACGTGCCGCCGTGCTCTGCACAGAGAGGCTCTAGCTAGATGCATAGGTCTCCATAGGAAGGTGCCGTAATTGCTCCGTGGGGTCTATTAAGAGGACCCTGTTCTTCTTTAGGTACGGTAGTCACCGGGGAGGTATTAGCGAGATAAAAACCCTCCTTTGTCCTCATACCCAAAAACATAGGCGCCTTTTGAAGGTTACCCCCCGTCAAGAGACAAAAAAAGCTTTCAAAGCATTCTTCTTGCACTTATTAACCCTAAATACTTTCCAAGACAGATAAGATACCTAAACCATTATAATGGTAGTTTTATTTTATATTCTCATCTTATTAAGGGTAATTCTTCGTAGCCTCGTAGCTTCGTAGCTCGTAGTATTATTACTCGTAGACGGCTACGGAATGACAGAGATGGGCATTGGAACAAACATTTTATTGGAATAGTTTTTGTTATAGCCTGGAGATCTAACGTAATGTTTTGTCTGAAGGGTAAACAGTGTACCTACGGTACATTATTTTTTTTATTACAAAAGAGAATTGGAAATACCTGACTTTGAAGTACACGCACTAAGATAAAATGTACGTGTATTTGGAAAACTAAAATTACAAATATTTGTTTTTAAAATAGTACCTCTATACCAATTGTCCTTGTTAGAGATAAACACACAAAAATACAGAAGTGTGCCAGACAGACTTAGTACTCACCAATTGCGATTACAGAAGAAAAGTAAGTTAGTTAGTAGTCTACCCATGTACCAATCAAATATTACATGATTAGAACTACTTATGAAAAAGAAATATCATTACGAGGAAAACAGCACCAAAACACGCCAACAAGAAACAAAACATTTTTACGAATGCGTGGATACAAATCACGGCACATATGAACATAAATACTGCGGCAGAGGATAATGTAGAAAGGTGGTAATAAGATCTAGCGACATTGTCGCCGAGTGGCAAACATTACAAATCCCCTCAGGCATGCAAGGGAGCTTCATAAAATATAATAAGACCACGCGAGCCCCCGCTGGAAACAGGTCAGCCGGCTGAACGATACGAAATAGCCTGCTTTACCCATTCCTACAAGGTTTGTTTTTATTTGTGCCCGCAAATAAATTAGATTTACTATACATGTTACATCTGGAGGCTTTCTTCGCAATTCCCAGCTTTCACTAAAATGGTTTTATATGTTAATAATGTAATGACGCAAGAACTTTATGAACAGCAAAATCTCTATGATTTATCTTGAATATCTGCCGTACCTAATATAATTTTACGACGCCGGCTGGTTATGTGTGTATGAGAATTGATGTGCCAGAAATCCATTTCATGCGAAAATTATCCAAGTAGTCATCTGCCAACGATGAGGTGAAACGTCTAACTTCACCAAATATGTAAATGGCAACATTGGAAACAGAGATGATAGAGTTTACGACATGGGGCCGGCCAAACCAACTCATACAATTCCGAAAAAATACTTTTCTGATTACAATCTTAGTACGAATTATCACATCAGACTTTATCAACTCGACCACAACAACAAGTTAATCGGAATCGAGCCGTATAAGTCTTCTCATTATTTTCCCTTATCAATGTACGTACGCAGATAAAAGTTCCAAGTTATTCTCTTGGACGACATTTTTATGTCGTAAGAATAGGGAAATAACGAACTCATAAATGTGAGTTGGGCGATAAACAAGCCATAGTCTCTGAGATAAGAGTCTGTTCTCTCTGCAGTAATGTGACTGCGAAAACGCGGATAATAACTATACTACCTGCTTTACATACGAACAGCATACGAGTGCCGAGGGCCCTCTGAGCGTTCGATACATGACGTCATAAATTACTTAGATTAGCTTCTTATTTGGTCTCCAGCTGATTTTATTATGTTGGTGTTTATACAACTGAGTTTTGCGGTTATTTTCTTTAGCGGATATTTTAGCCTTAAATGTTTTTTCATTTTCACAAAGAATTCATTTTCGTATAAAGACGATGGACGACTAACCTGTGAGTTGAACAAATGTTGTTTATAGCCTCAAGCGGTTCAGCAAGACATGCATTTCTACTTACCCTTTGTGAGACAAAACTGTGCTATCCCTGGCAACACATACAAACAAATACACAATGTGTACGAACTACAAACATTCGGGACCCTTCCCTAGAAAGTTGTCTCGAATCGATTCCACATAGTTGACAGTATAACTAAAGTAATTATTGTGTAGAAGTAACCCCAACATCTGGACACGAATAGAGTAAGTTTCAAGTGAACACGGATCTAAAGATGTCAAGAGTGGAATTTTAAAGGAGCTCGCGTTTCCTTCTTGAAACTAACAAAACATAATTCCAGGGAAGAAATATTTCTAAGAGGGATTCTAACATTTCCCAGTACTTTTTAATAAGTACATACATATCTGTGTAAACATGGCTGTTGTGAG